ACATTTCTGTTCTCTCTCATTAAATCTTATATCTAAGGTATATTTTCTCATTAAATCCAGTCTTTAAGATATATTCTTATCATCATTAAATTATACTAATTAAATCTATAACTTTAATTTTAATAGCATAAAAATAAATATTTTGAAAAATAATTTAAAAATAATACCATTTTCTTCCCTTCCAATGGTGGGTAAGCAATTTAACCATTTGGGGTCAAATGAGTAAATAAATAATGACATAATTAAATAATAAAAAATTAAAATAAATAAATAATATAATGCAAATAAAAAATAAAAAATAATTGAGATGTCTCTAATATTGTATATTCATTATACAAAATGACAAGTATGTAATGTAAGAAGTATTTTTTATTAACAAAGAAAATGGAATTCCAAATTTAAAATCAACCTAGAAATAAAATGATGCCATAGTCAAATAATAAAATTTTAAAAATAGAAAATATAAAGAATCAGAAAAAAAATAGAGATAAATTTAGGCATGGATTTAATGTTATATATTTATAAAAATAAAATATTGAGTACATTTCTAATATTATAAATTCATTATATTGAACAAAAAATAAGTATTATACAAAAGAAATAATTTTATCAATGATATGTAATGCAAAATTTAATGTCAACCTAGAAATCAAAATAGTTTCCTTTTCAGGTGGTGGGTTAGTGGTTTGGGTCAAGTAGATTAATCAATTATATGATAGTTAAATAATAAATTTTTAAAAAATAAAAAGTACAAATAATCAAAAGAATATATAAAAATTATATATTAATTATGTCAAACAAAAATTAAGTGTGATAAGTAAAAATTATTTATATAATGTAGATTGAATATACAATTTAAAATTGATTTAAGAGCAAAGCTATATTTTTATCTAGATGACGGGTTAATGGTCCAACTTTTTAAAAAACTCATGACCTCGTAATTGAATAATAAATATTTTAAAAAAATATAAAACACAAAAAAATGAAAAAAATACAAAATTTTGTCAAAAATATTTGGGAACATTTTTAACATTATATATTCATCATATTAAAAAAAAAATTGTTTTTATTTATGACAAAAATGGAATAGAAAATTTAATAATAATAATAATAATGATAATTGTTATTTTTAACTACGATATATACAAAATTCAAGTAATTAATATGAAGACAAATTTCTCACCTGCAATGCACATGCATAAACTAGTTAACCATAAAAAAAACGTGTCATTGTCATAGCGATGTCTTCGTGTTGTCACTACCTAATCCTTGATCACTTGAGGATTAAAACAAAACATACAAGCAATAAAACAAAAGCTCAACATGTCATGATGCAACAACACCCTCAAGCATTAATGGCTACAAATTGATCCCTATTTTGTGTAATTGGTTATTTGCACACTTCAACATGTCTGCCACCATCACAGGGTATGAATTGGTCTACCCAAATAAAATCATTTTTGTGTGCCTGCTTATAGAAAACTATTTTTATTTTTTTTTCAAATTTAAAATGTTCATCTTACATCAAATCGGTAACAGAATACATAACAAAAGACATAACAATCCAACACACGGACAAAAGGTTTATAACATATAACAAAGGGCAATCTTCATGATATTCAATATATAATAAAAGACATGACAAAACACAATGATGGGATTAGAGAAAAAAACCCCACCCATTTGGCATAACATATAACCATCGATGGGATCAGAAAAGAAACTATACCCATTTGGCATATCATATAACAAATGCAAATAAAATAATATAATTTAAACGATTGCAAATCGCATTGGCTAGAAATTGTTTAAAACTCATCTTTGTTGTGAAAGCAAAAACGATTTTAGATAAATATGGCCAGAGAAAAGATGAATTTAAAATAGGACACATGAAACAAAATTAGGTACAAGACAAGACTACATACCTATTGTTCCTGACCGAAAATGCCATCGATGCTTTCTACTATTTGCTCGCTGTCCGTTGAAGACAAGGGAGTCCCTCCTTTCTCTGAAAACATTGGAAACACATGAAACATTGCCAAACAAGGCCTTATGGCTCATCCCTTTCCTTCTCTACTATTGTAATTGAATTGCAATTGATTTTTTTTTAATATTCTAAAAGGAAGATTCCCCATCATTACTCCCTACCCAAATGATAGTCTCGAGTCTCTCCCAAGGAATTAGAGTTGCTAAAATGGTTGTAGCTTCTTCTTTGGTAAACAATTACCTCATCTTCGTGAAGCCCCACTCCTTACAGCCCCACTCCTTCGTGAAGCCCCACTCCTTCGTGAAGCCCCACTCCATCCAAATGCAAATGCCCTTCCCATCCCCTAAATGCCAAATACATCCCTTCGTAAAGGAGATCTCTACCTAGGGCTGTTCATGGGTCGAGTTGGGTCGGTTTATTGTGGTTTTTCCAACTGACCCGACCTGGTCCGGTTACCTGACATAGAAACCGAAACCGACCCAGTGTTAAGCAAAACCGACCTGGTCGGTTTGAATCGGGTTGGGTCAGTTTGGGTCGGTTTCGGTTCTAAGTTCATCCCTGTAATAAAATCTTGCTAATTTTAAAAACAGTCATAAATTGAACATCATTTTCAGCCATCTCCTATGGTAAAATTTAAATGAAAAGTTAATCACAAAAGTTGTTCATTAATCACTATTCACTAATCCAAAGTTTCTTGCAACCATTCAAAAACTAGGTGGCCTAATGGGCTTTGGAACTTCATGTTTGAACTGGGAACTAAGTCGGTTCGGTTCGGGTCGGTTTCGGTTTTCTCACCGGTTTAGGAATTTGCACAACCCGAAACCGACCCGTGCTGATGAAAGCCCGGCCGACTTGGGTTGGGTCGGTTTGGTCGGATTGGGCCTTCTTATGAACAACCCTATCTCTACCCCACAATTAACTTCACTAGCCCCAATGAGGGGCTCGACCCCAATTCTGCCAAATAAAACAAAAAGTCCTTGTTTGGAAAATATTTCCCTTGTAACACCCTCGACACCAAATATTCAGAATCTCGATGACTAACCTAGTTGATATTGCTTATAAAGTCGGGCCCGTTTGGTAAGTCTTTTTAGGAAGTGGTAGTAGATTTGACAATCAAAAGACGCGTTGAGCTTTTACATGAATATCTAAGCAGCCTGAAGCTAATTTGGCAGATATACATATTTTTGTGTCTTTCCACATGACAATAATGCGAAAGACACAAAAAAACTTCATTTGGAGCTTCCCGAAATCAGCCCAAAATGGAATTCTCGCATCTTTTCGGTGCTCCGTCTTTTGGTAGTTAGATCTTTTGTGAACCAAAGGGGAGTAGACCAAAAATCGGTCTGTCCGGCTTATAAATAACCGAAAGACTGCGTGGAAAGGCATTCCAAACGGGCCCTTAAACAAGCAAATCTATTGGAAGCCTAAGCCACCCATAACTAAGCTTAGTTCAGCTAATGGAGACAATGTTTGTTACAAGGTTTTTAAACCGGACCAGACAAGGGGTCGTTCTAGGGTCTGGTTCCTATGTCAACTGGTTCGACCATCCATTCCAAACGGATGGCCTACTTTAACAAAATAAAAAATAGAAAAATAACAAAAAAACATTGTCCAGGTTAGTGATTCATTGACCAAATTACTGGTTTTTAGCCAAAAAATAGTTTTGGAGTGAAACAGAGACCTATTCCCAATTTTTCTGATGCCATTTGGGTACTTGCACAAAGATTACTACCCCAAGGCCTACTTTTTTTTTTTTTTTTTTGTTTTTGTCTCCCCCTTTTTTAGTATTACATACTATACATTATGGGGGGGGGGGGTTGTGGATGCAAATTACTTAATGACCAATTGATCATGCTCTCATGACGTTTCTATCATGATTATACCTGTTTATGAGCCAGGCTTGAGTTTAGCTTTTGCCAAAGTTTGAATGGGGCCTGGCCCGAAGTTCGAGCCTAACATAGTGTAAGGGCCTGTTTGTTTCCTCTTAACTCTCATCTCTTAAGATAGATCTTTTAACTTTAAGAGAAAAATGGTTGTTCGTTTCCTCTTATCTTTTAAAGTGTAATCACACAACCTTTTGTTTTTCAATGATACTCCTGAAAAGACAAACAAAAACTCTCATATATGGGGCCAAAATAGATATTTGATAATTTTCAGAATTCAAAACAACATTATCTGCATTTAAAATTCATAGGAAAGAAAAGTTCACCAATACCAATATACCTTTTAATATAATTATTACACTTTCAAATGTCATACTTAGAGCAAACGAATAGGCCATGAGCCTTGGCCACAAACATGTCTAATCATGATAGGATATAATCACAATATGATTCCTAGAAAAATTAACCTAATATGGATTAACACTTTTTAGTTGTGTGGCCAATGACGATGTATATGAAACCCACGATGAGGGGTTGAATGTTTGTGAGTATTTTATGACTGTTGTGGAGTATCATTATAGTGGATATTCCACAGCATGTTCAAACAGTTATTGGGTTCGGCTAAACCTATCTCCATATAATCATCCTCAAAAACAATAGATTACATATAACCACCATACTTAAGAGGGAGTAACAGTTAGCCCCCAAAGTTTTGTTTTGCGACAAATAGATTCTAGCACTTTGCCCCCAACCTACAGGTTAATAGTGAAATTAAAACTAAAGTAAATTATTAAATTATTCATTGACTGCCACTAACAAATATCAAAATTATGAAAATAATCAATTTAAAGCTTAAAGCGTTTTCAAAGAATTGATGAATGATGAATCAGAAAAATGTGAGAATTAGGATATCGAAATGATATAATAAAATAATATAGAGATAGTTTGGCTTTGGGTTTTAAAAATGATTTCGACAGCGACTCCAAACAAGATTTAAAAAGTAATTTTGCAGGATATCGAAAAAAAAAGTTGCAAGAACCGTCCATCTCCCAAACGGCAAATCTATGACAAGGGTCTTTCTAGATTTTGAAAAGTAAAGGGTAGTTTTTAGGTAATAATAGTCAAGAACCAGAGCCAGATTGCTAAATCGTCGCTCCGAAGTGATCGCTCGCAGGCAGTCAACATCTTGCTAACAGTAACGGAAAATGTATGAAGGTCGTGTGGATCGCTTGTCCTCTATCATCAAGGACAAAAAATACCCTTCAGAGTACTGTACAGTAGAGGTTCAATAGCGGTACGTCCTACTTCCCTCATAAACGGCTAAACCGCGCCTTTTCATTGCTTACCTCTCCGAGAACAAAAACGCGTTTGGTTCTTGCTCAAAGAACATTCTTTGATTCCTAAATATCATTTTTTCCCATCTTTAAATGGTACCCAATTCGCAAAATTTACGGATTATTGTTCTTCCTACTTTGATCTGCTCTACAATCTATTCCTTTATCAAAAAATTATACTTCCGACCATCTGGGCATTGTTAATTCTACCTTAATGTTTACTCTCTTTCTGGGTTTTCTTCTGGGGGCGTTGACGGTTATCGTCGTCGAAGTTCTGGGTTTCCTTCACATCCTGGATCGATTGGCCCGGAAAAAAGAAGTCGGGCGGAGGAAATCCCTATCAGATGGTGACCTCGATTCTGAACAGTCTATTGCCTTCGCTTACAACAAGCAGGTTAGCTTCCAAGACATTCGGTTAGGTTTCTGTCCATCTTGTGCAATCTTTTTTTGGATTACTTTCTGTCTTTGTTTGTGGGTATCAAGAGACTTCTTGATGGCTTTAATTGAGTTTTGATGCTAATTCTTGGCTTGCTTTGAATTAATTAACTGTTTACATTTCTTGGCATCTTGTATACATAGTTTGGTCCAGAGAAAAGATGCGTAGAAACACTATAAACAAGTAAACGATTATGAATCCACGGTATCCGTAAAATCCCAGGCCTTATGAAAATAATAAATTTGGACTAATCTTTGAAGCAGGAGAGAGTGATCAACATGATATTGGGGAAACTAAAAGCTTCTTATGGTGTTTAATCTGTTGCTCTTTCTCGGTAAAAGGTTGCTCTGTATTAAAACCTTTAGTTTAGTGGTCCAAACTTAGCCTATTGAGCTATTATCCAAGCAAATAAAACTTCCCACTATTAAATTTACTATTAACAATTTTATTCTTGTTTATCACACTTATTTTTGTTTAATATGATAAATATACAATATTAGAGATGTATCCAAATGTCTTCTACATCTTTTTTTGTATTTTTTTTATACTTTTGTTTGTTTTCATCCTTTTTAATTTTTATTATCATTTAATTATAACAAGGATTTACACATTTAACCTAAAAGGTTGAATTGTTGACTTGCTACCAAATAGGAAAACAACTCGTTTTGGGTTGATTTTAAATTTGTATTTTATTTCTATCATCAATAAAAATAATTATTCTTTGACACACTTATTTTTCTTATATGGTAAATCAGTATAAGAGTCGATGAAAAATGGGAGTTAATACCCTAAATATGAGACTTAATGAGAGGGAGTTGAATGAGGAGAAATGTAGTAATTAAAATTACATTTTATGCCCTCACAATTGGAGAGACCAAATTCAAAAATAGGGGTATTCTAGTCAAGAGTGAGATTCAATGAATGTTACTGGGAGTTGATACCTTGAATACAAGACTTGATGAGAATGATTTGAATGAGGAGAAAAGTGGTTGTTCAAATTGCATTTCTGTCTTTACAATGAGGGACCAAATTAAAAAATGGGGTATTTTAGTCAAACAAAAAATTCCTCACTCTCATTTAAACTTTTAATAGCAGTATAGATGGGGTCTAAATTTTCTATTCATAAATGTTGTTCATTTGGTTTAATGTCTCAACTAAATATTTTTTATTAAAATACAAATTAGCCCCCATGATAGCTCAAGATCAAGGGGTAAATTCTGTCCAATGAAAATTCCAGAAAATAAGACCCATTCACACTTTTATAAGTAGTACAGATATAGATGTAAGATCCAAAATCAAGTGCACTATTTCTTTGGTGTCAATACGAAACTTAGCCATGAAATAAATGGAAATGTGACAAAATGTGATATGTTCTGGTGGGATTTTAAATTCTTGCATGTTGGATTCAAGTCTGGTTGCCATCAGAAGTGACAAATTGTGGAACCCCAAAGAAGAAAGATGATTCAAGTTCGGTTTCCACCAGAAATGGGCAGGTTAAACTAAGGGTCCTTTTGGAATCGGAATCCGATTCCCATTCCTGGTGGAATGGTGTTCTCCCATTTGAGAGAATGGCCGTTTCATTCCCCTTCCTTGGGAACGAGAATCCCATTCTAGTCGATTCTGATTTTGATTCCCTTTTGAACCAAACAGGCAGGAGGAATAGACCATTTCTGATTCTGATTTCAAGGATTTCGAGTCCAATTCCAATTCTGACTGTGAACGGTGAACCAAACAGACCCTAAATCTTGACCAATGTTCAATGGGAAATCTAGGTCCATCTTGGGGGGGGGGGTTGTTATTAGGGATGCCAAGGAGAATATAGTCAATTTGGATCCCACTGGAGAAGGAAATTCTCTGCATCCAGAAATCCTGTCTATCTGCAAGTTTAAAGATTGATGTTGCTGCAGGTTGGAATGATCTTATTGTTCAAGGGGACAATGGTGTGGTTATTGGTTGGTTGATGACAACTAATGCAGGTGCATGGACTTTAATCTGCCAGATTCAAGAAGCAATCTCTTATGGAGAAGGGTTAGGCAAGGCCTCTCTTGATTAGGAAACATCAGTCAAGTGGCTGAATTGTACGTTTTTCCCCTCTTGTTTTTGCTGTTATCAGTCAGCTTATGCTGAATATTTGTTCCCTCTCTTAAAACACCATCAGGAGTGAGGGTCTGCATTTACATTTTTCGGTAGTAAGGCTCTTTGGTGCAAAATCAGGTACAATGCAAAATCAGGTCACAGGGTGAAATTTTGGGAAGACACTTGGTGGGGAGACACTCCCTCATCCCAAACCTACCCTAGAATTTATAATGCCTTCAACTTCAAAAACAAATTAATTGCTGAAATTGTGACTGTTGGCCTCGTTCACGTCTCAATAAGTCATTTATTTACCTAGGTAAATGCACTTATTCGGGCAAGTGTTTCTTGGAAACCACTTACCTGGATAAGTGCACTTATCAGTGTTCTTTCCCCAGGTAAAGTTGTACAATAACCGTTTTATCCAAAACAATGACATTATTGAAGGGACAATATTGTCTCTTCACATATTAGCAATTTTTTGTGCGGAGGGGTAAGTGATTTACCCAAGTCTCAAGAGGGTATTACTTGCCCTGGTAAATGAGCCACTCAGGAATCATTCTTTTCCATGGGACCCACTAATACTGAAATACGATTGCGAGTTTATTTCTTTTTTGTGGGAGTGGGACCCACCAACTTACCTGCCCCCACTTCCTGGAAAACGAACAAGGACTTAATGAGTTGGGGCTGGGTTGGAACTTGGGCTTAAGGAGATCCTTGAAAGACCATGAATTGAGTGAGTGAGTTCCTTTTTGTGAGATTATTACTTTTGGGTTCTGATTGAGAGACTTTGGGTACCCAATGTTAATGGTCTCTTCTTCTACATCTCATTCTTCCAAACCTTTCAGCCTCTACCTGAAACAACCCTGTTGAGCGCAAGAGAAGAGAGGAGAGGAGGAAGAGAGGAAGAGAGGAGAGGAGAGGCGAGAGGACTGAAGGCCCCAAAAGAATCTGCAGGCGTGTGCAGTAGATATTATTTATACTAGTCTAGTCGTACAACATAAATATGGGGAAATTACAACAGTACCCTTGCGGTACTAAACCTGTGTACAATAACACCTGTCAACACTCCCCCTCAAGTTGGAGCATAGATATCAATCATGCCCAACTTGTCACA